GCGTTGACCATTTAATACTAATGTGGTCTTTATATTGCGTTCTCTCATCGTCTTTTTTTCGATTGCGTGAAAGCCTCGTTAGGGAATCGCGTGAGGAGACCCTTCTTTAATTTTATCTTGTATTTTATTATTTAATTGGATTCTGTCTGAAACTTACTACTGCTCTGACATTTAATTATCGCAGGGATAAATAATATCGTGATAACTTCAATAAAATTGGGAATGATGCTAATTTTATTGACTCGATGAGGAATAATTTTTTAATTTGCTACGGATATCGCATGATAAGGTTAGAGAACACGCAAATATTGCCACGGCATGTTAATAAATTACCACATGATCTTTGCAGGGAGTTCGTGGACGACCACGATTAAGCTAATTAATGTAATGTCTTTTGAAGTAGTCTAAACGGTTAAAACGACAGATCAATATCTATGCAGAGTTTACTCGTAATAAATTTAAGATAAAGTTTAAACTTTAGGAACAAAGTCCCTATGAAATTTAGTACTCCCTACATGTTAATTAACAAAAAATTAAAGTGTGTATGAACACTTTGTTTGTTTTCATTTACTTTATAAAATTAAACTTTTTAATTATAATATGTGTGTAATTAAAATCCCCTCAGCAGTAGTCTCCCATTATTGATTAATTTATTGCAGTACTTTGGCAACGTTTTCCTCTCTGTGTTTACATTAAATTCATGTGACAACTGAGACGTGAAACAGCTTTTATGTTTATTTATTACTATTAAAATATTCAAAATTTTCAACTTTTTTTTAATACAATGAAGTCCATCAATGCTGTTTTTTGATGTTCATTATGAATAAAACATTAGCCCCGTCCAAGAATTACTTAATTAATCGGTATGTTTTTGTTGAGGTAAATATAATCCTCGCGATAATTCGACTAAAAATATTAAAAAATAAAAGAAGGGGTTATGTTATTAGGCGGAACCTCTCTCGCCGCTGAAGCACATTTAAATAAATCCAGTCATTTAGAGAAAACAATATAAATAATACCAATCATATTAAAAAATAACTTTTTATTTACTGCAGTTGATCTACAAACTTTCTCCTTTTCTCAACAATTAGGTACTCTTTACGCTTTATACTGTTCGAGCACAAATGATTAATCTATATACATGAGTTCTTTAATAATTAGATCTCTTTCTTCTGTACTTCAAAGTTATCCTTTTCGTCCTGTCTCCAAGAGCTTTTGTCATTTCGTTCATCACAATAATAAATCGCAGAGGACTCGGTATGTTTCCTTATCTGATTCCTTTGTTTGTAATAAATTCAGCCAGTTAAGATTTTGTCCTTTGATCAGATTACTATACACTTAATTCTTATAAGCTTAATCAATTCTTCGGGTACTTTGCGTTTCACTAATATATTCCATGTCTTTCCTTAGCTCACCGAATTAAATATTTTCTGAATGTCGATTGCACTTACATAAATTTTATCCCTTTATTTTCTGGTTTTCTCTCAAATTTATCTCAATACAAATATCCATTCCTGAGTGTTCCGATCTTTCCTGAAGCCTGCTTGTGAGTCTTCTAATATTGGCTCCTTTCCAATATCCTCTCATAGATCTTCTTCGTTATACGTAACAAGGTAATTCCTCTACATTTTCACAAATCATCTTTGGAATTCATTAATGAATCACACTTTAATCACCAATATTCCGTCACAGCTTTTGATGCGACCGCATTGTTATGAAAACACACTCGACTGAGTTGTTTACATTTGGTCTAGCCGGAGAGTCAGTTCATACTTCTCCACCGATGATAGGAAGCAGAGCCTCTATTAATAATTGATCCAAAAATATGAAGTGTCGATAAAACGCAAGGCTTTGCCCGTGTTTTTAGTGAGTTCTGCCCCAGGAAAATCAACACTTCAGCCAGGACACGTATGTCAATTTCGACATGTGTAGTGTAATACTAATAATAAAAAAATTAAGTGTATCATTCTTGATTTGATTAATTTGAACTGAGCGTCCTTCCACACGTCTATGAGTCAGGCTACGTGTTATGTGACTAAAGAAGAAGAATATTTAAACAATCAAAATTATATAGAATACTAGAAGAAAACAAGGCGGATTCATAAACGACAAGTACTGAAGTACAGATATTATTTTATAAAAATTACAGTATGGGGGGGGGGGGACAATCAGACAAATACTCAATTTTGTTTATCGTTTACCATCTACACATATAAAATTTGACAGCAATTGGTCCGGTAGTTTCGGAAATTATCTATCTCATAAAAATCGACACGAAAGACAGACGTCTGACGGTAGACAGCAAACAGACAAAAGACAACAACCGGAGACCTATTTTTTCGTACCACTAGCACTCTGGGGGTCCTGAAACGTCGAGAAAACGGAAAGTGGAAATTCCTCGAATGAACCCTAATATAATACTTCCTTAATTTACGTTCGGGAAATAAAAAGGCGACAAAATGACCTAAATAACTATTGGCGAATAAGTTTGTTGTCAATCTTTTCTAAAATTTTCGAACTAAAGATGCAAAAAGGATTAATTTTCTATTTTGAAAGTCAAAATTTATCCAGTAAATGCCAGCATTATTCTCTACTTACAAGAAATTCTTTATGCTTTCGAAGTTAAAAATTATCTCTTAAAATAAATAAAATTAATAAAAATAGTGGAGAATATGAATTAAGCTTAGAAAAATAAAATTAGGAGTACCTCGAGGAACTATGTTAGCATCATTGTTATTTAATATATATTTGAATGACATTGATACAACAGTAAATAACGGAAACATTGTAGTGACGAACTAAGCAACTGACACAATTTTATTGGGCCAAGACAGAAAGAAATATATAATTTATGCCAATGTAAAGTAAGTGTAAAAGTAAAGTAGTTTAATTTTAAACAGACAGAACTAAATTTCTTCAATTTAAAAAAAAACAGAGAAATTACAGCAAATAAAAATTGGTTAAGACTCACTAACACTGTCTTCATCTAAAGTTTTCTTTTTCAATTTCATGGTGATAAAAATTTGAAATGGACATGTCATATGGTAAATATAGAAACCAAAACTGAATAAGATTGCGTGAATTTAGACGCTTGAAAAATGGTTTACTTTGCCATATTTCAATCAATTAAAATATTCAATAATATTTTCAGGACAAAGAACCTAATACAAAAAGTATTTTTAGATTATCAAAATTTAAATTAAATAACGTTATGACCCTAACTGGACTTTACCTATGTGAAATTAATGTTTCTTGTCAAACATACTTTGAAAATCGTACATTCAGTTCCAACATCCCGAAACAGTTACGAGGGTGGAGTGATTAATGCCGGGCCTCAACAGGAATGCATTGTTTTTTCGGTTAATTTTTATTTATTTCTCAACATAATCTCCATTTAGCTCGATACACTTAACCCAGCGATGTTCTAGAGCGGTTACACCGGAGTAATACAACGATTTGTATAGATCTTCAAAATAACGATTTGCTGCTTTGATGTTGTCATAAACCTGTTACCACCCAACCACTTTTTGAGGTTTGGGAAAAGGTGGAAGTGACACGGGGCTAAATGGGGTCTGTAGGGAGGGTGGGGAACCAATTCAAATTTTAATTCATGAATTGTAACCATCGCAATGACTGAAGTATGGACTGGTGCATTGTCTGATGAAACTGCACCTTTTTTTTTCGGCAAATCTGGCCGTTTTGCTTTAATTTCCTGTGTAAACGTTGTAGTTGAGTGGCATAATATTCCCCACTAACTGTTTTTCCCTTTTGGAGGTAGTCAATAAAAATTATTCCCCTCGCATCCCAAAAGATGGTGGCCATAACCTTACTGGCCGATGCAACTGTCTTCGCTTTCTTCAGAGGTTTTCTTTTTTTGGTCCACCGTCTCGAATGCTGTTTTGTCTCGGGGGTGTAAAGATGGAACCATGTTTCATCGACAGTAATGAATGGACGCAAAAACTCAGTTGGGTTACGCCTGTAGTGTGCCAAACAATCAGCCGAAACATCCTTACGACGCTGTTTTTGGTTTGGAGCGAGCAAACGCGGCATCCACCTGGCGCAAAGCTTTTTCATTGTTAAGTGTTCATGTAAAATATTTTGAATACGTTCTGTTGTGACCCTTATTGATTCTGCTACCTCCCTCATTTTCACTCTCCGGTCAGCCAAGATGATTTTATGATTTTTTTCTGTAATTTTTGGAGGGGTCACCTCAACAGGGTGCCCACTGCATGGTTCATTATTTGTGCTGATTCGGCCCATTTTAAATTTAGCAACCCATTACTTAATTGTTGTATACGATGGAGAGGAGTCTCCCAATGTTGTATCCAACTCTTTGTTGATCTCACTTGCTTTTAGGCGTTTCAAAAAAAAAAAATTTAATCATTGGCCGAATTTCCACTTTTTCCATTTTGTTAGAATTGTTTGATGCATCTAATCTGAAGAACTGCCATCCAACTACTAAGCGACATATTGACACGAAATTTTTAAGGGAAGCTGATGGAAGATGAAATTATGAAATGCCATCATTATACTGATCTTATTACTCCCACATCTATGTGAGGCCCGGTACTTGTCACCCCACCCTCGTAGTGGTTAGTGTTGGCTTTCGTATTCTTATATCTTCATTTAAAAGAAAATTACTGAGTAACCCGAAAAAACTGATTCGTGTAAATAATCTAATCACGATGACATGCGTTTTAAAACTGTTTCACGGTCGCACATTGAAACATACACAATTTTTCCAACAAGTTCCAGTTCACAATAAAATAGGGGTAGCTTTTTTTCATAGCCTAATCTAGGGTACAACAATCTTATACTAATTTTAAAACAGTGCGGAATTAATTCACAAATTCAGCAAAACATGACATTCGTGTTATTAATAATAATCAAAAATAAACCAATACTATCAAGTAATTATTATCTCAACACTAAAATCATTTTAATAGATAACAGACAATATTATATAAAACGCACTTATCATCATCAACAACTCAGTCACCATGAATTCCTGGTTATCTATACCCGTAATACTCCTCCTACTAATAAGTGGCACACAATGTGCCAAAATCCTAGCCGTCTTTCCCATGGGAGCCCGAAGTCACCACATCCTGGGCAGCACTCTATTGAGAGGACTCGCTGAAAAGGGCCACGATGTGACCATGATAAGTCCCTTCTCTGAGAAAACTCCACCCAAGAATGGATTCTACAGAGATATTGTTCTTACGGGTTTCAAAGAAGAGCACGAAAGTAAGTTTATTCCAATGCACTACAACCATTTACAAGAATTTATTATTATTAGATCAATTGAAAACACTGAACTTGTTTGACATGGGTGAAGCAAATATTCTCCTAATGATACCAATTTTATCCAAAATGATGATAGATCTGGCCGAACGTACACTCAGCCAACCAGATGTGCAAAAGTTGATACACTCTGGAGAAAAATTCGATGTTGTTATAGTTGAGCAGTTCATGAACGAGGCCCACAAGGGATTTGCGAAGCATTTTAACGCTCCTTTGGTCCTTTTTAGTACCATTGGAGCTAGTTCTTGGGTTAACCCGCTGGTGGGTAACCCCACAATGCTGTCTTATGCTTCTGAGCCCTCACAAGCGTTTGGTAGTAATATGACGTTATATGAAAGATACATTAATGCGTTCACGTACAGTTACTGTCAATTGATAAATCATCTGTATGTTTTTCCACAACAAGATAAACTATTGAAGAAGTACTTTCCCAACAAAATGGATCTCGCCGATGTTATGTACAGCGCATCCTCTTGACACTGCAGTGTATTGGGTTGAGTATGTTATCCGACATGGAGGAGCTCCTCACTTGCGGATAGCGCGGATTGATTTGTCTTGGTATCAGTATTTCCTGTTGGACGTTATTTTAATTTTTTCAGTGACGAGTGTGATTGTGTTATATATAAGTTTGAAACTGATTAATAGATTGCTGTTAGGTTGTTGTAGAAGAAAACAACAAAAAATAAAAACTAACTAAAAATAAGCGAATTTCTCTTTCACCCTTTTTTTGATTTTTCGGTTTTTTTTTTGCTTTTTGATTAAGGTTGTCCCTGTATTTTTCTTTCTTTCTAAGTTAAACCATTAATAAACTTGCTGTATTTAAGGGTTTGTAGAAGAAAAGTGAAGGCTTTAAGTTGATTGCTGCAAAAATTTACCATTTTAGACACATTTTAAGATTCTTGTTGTCGAAATAAGTGTACACATGTTAAGAAAAAAAGGCAAAATATAGTCTCGCCCACCCGCTCTATCTTAATTGTGATGATTTTTTTTTTAATCGTCGTGAGCCAAGAAGGCGGAGCTTAAGTGCAAAATCCTTACTTCTCTACGAGAAATTAAAAACATATTTTTGAGTACCGTGTTGTTCAAAGAATACTATGTATGTTAAGGAAAAAATAAAGCCAAAGATTAGGCCCCACCCGTACCCGCCTCGATTGCAATTCTCAATTGTGATGAATTTTTCATTCGTTGTCAGATCGAGGGGCGGGGCTTAATTGCAAGATCCATATTTGTGTATTATATATAATCAAGGCGGATTCATAAAGCACACGTACTAAGGTAATTTTAAGTTGACGTCATTACAGTGTAGGTGCAATGATCAAACAAATTTTAGTAAGTGTTTTACCGTCGACACGACATTCCTAACACAGAGAATTTGCCAATAATCGGTTCCGGAAATGTCTATAAAAAACGACACAGACAGCGAATATATGACACAGAGATAGACAGGCAGAGAGAGAGAGAGGCAGAGCAACAGACGGAAATAGAAGACCTATTGTGTCGTACTGTTGGGGCAATGAAACATCAGGAAACATGAAAGTAGTTATTCGTCGAATGGATTACAACACTTCCTTAGTTTTACGCTCGGGAAGTAAAAAGCAGACTATCCAGGCAAAGCTCACTGGTTGTCTCGCATACACGACGCTGCTAAAACTAATTTACCTGAAGAAGAAGAAGACCTAGTTTCGAAACGTTGTTAAAAAAATATAAACATTGGTAATCGGTTTTAATGAGAATTTTAACACTATGCTCCTGAAATTTTATTGTTTTTTCATCTTTTTAATTATAGAAATTTTGAAAAATCTCGATGTTAAGATAGTCATGTGGGCGTGTTTTGAGTCGAATTTCTTTGACATTCTTGTTACACAGATCTGGCATGTTTCAGATATCTAGAAACTGCAAAGCTGAAGGTAATTAATATTGTAGGGACGAAGATCAAGGCTTTCAGTTGTGTTTTTTCAAGAGAAAAGCACCGTTGACAATCTACGTCTGCACAAAGTTTTCACGATTACTTACAATTTACAAACTGAAGTTTCGCAGGATCACAAATTTGGCAAAATTATTTAATGCCATTTTAAACCAGTGGCACTGTTCTTTAATTGTGATAAGATTTGCTCTGCTATTGTCCATTACGTGCTTTTTCACAATTGACATATTTGACAGATTTGTTTTGACGTTCGTGACATTTCAAAAGAGTTCAAATCATTTTGGTGATTAGCGACACGAGAAAAATTTCAGTTGTTTTTCATAGGTGAGTTGACTACAGTATTTTATGATGACTCTGTATTATTTCCACTGTTAGGAAACTCAAATGACCATCACAGTACTTAATTTTTCCGAACACTAGTAGATTTTTTTCCGTATACAAAAGTACTAGTACGTAATGTAAAAAAAAATAATTGTATTTACGTGCTTTTTATTCAACCTCTAAATCAAAAAGAACTCATACATAATCTATTCCACTGCAGTAATCTGAAACCAGCGAAATCCAGAATCGCAGCTCAGTAAGACACACAGGTTTCCATTTAATGGACTAATTTTTCTTTCCGCGGAATGAAACGTTTCCGCGTGATAAAAATTCTTGTGAAAACTTTTTACTCTTACATCAATACGGTGTCGAATAACGTTATATTTGCGAAATCCATCCTCCATCTTCAAAGACGTAGAAGAGCGTGACATATTAAAGGCAAGACAAATAAAAGTTCCAAGACATGAAACAATCTTCCATAAAATATCATCTGACAAATGAAATTCGAGAACAAATTGATGAATATTCCGAGCCGTTTCGAGTCAAATTAAAGTCAAACGCGCTCAAGGTAGCTGTCAGCGCTATCGTTTCATGTAAATATAAGACGTAAAGCTGCGCTCACAATTACAAAGTTATATTCTCAATACTCTATTCTTGTTGAGGACTACACTTGCTGTCATTTCGACGCGAGCAACGTGTGTGATGGATGTTGGGTCGATGTTTAAAAGCGACTTTATAACACTTACGTTCATGTAGCTAAGCGGGATGAGAACGCTATAATTATCCCGACAAACGTAACTGGGTGTGTTTGGGTTAACAAAATGAAAAACTAGATATTTGTTCTAGAGAAATAGTTTTTTTTTAACTTTAACTGCGCTTGCATTGAAACGATAAAATTCGAAATGGAAAAATAACTGGCCACACTGGACGAATTTAGTGTGTGGAGGACAATTTATAAAGTAAAGATAAACAGGAGACCACATCATTTTTGTTGCGCATACATGATGCATATAAACTCCGATTGAAATAAACACAGAGTAATTACCAAATAGATGGATAATTTTATGACTAATTTTAATGGGGATTTAATTAACGAACGAGCTGTGTATTAGTTGACCTGAAAACCCCAACTTCAATAAAAAATTTTGACGGCCAAAAAAATATTGATTTTCTAGCCACGTTAATATTTTTATCCAAGAATTTATTGAGAGAACTAATTCGGCCAAAGAATAAATCGTAACTTGACACAGTTTTCAATTTTTTAGAGTTTTATTAATGAATTTAGTATGTAATTCACTTTATTCTTAAACATGTACATTGTTGTGTGACTTCGCAATTTAATAACAAAACCTGAATATGGGTTGTGTGTGGCTGAACTTAGAAAGCTCATTTATGTTACATCAACAAGAATTAAACCCTCGATGGTTTTAAAATAATTTATTTATGATAAGTAACATGTAATTAAATTTACAACAATTGCTGGAAGTGTTGGCCCCTAGCTTCGAAACATAATTTGACTAGGCGCTTTCATATCCGCAAATACTCGAGTAACAACTTCCGGCTAAACATTTTCACACTCTAAAGTGTTAAATCAGGTGAGCGAGGTGGGCAGGTACGGTCTGTGTGGGAGCTCATTAAACGATCGTCATCAAATTCCCTTCAAAATTGTTTGAACTGTATGAGCTGTTGCTCCGTCATGTTTGAAACATCCATAGAGAATATTAAGAGCTATGATAATCTTTGTTTCATTATATCACTCCAGTATTTGGTTTATATGTGCGGGTGACACCACAATAATAATAATAAAATATGTATTAATAACTATATGTTTTTAAAAATGGTTGGAGTAAAGTACTTACTTTTGTGTAGTTTAATAGTTCGTTTACAATTTCAACTTAACCTATCCGGGCTCTAAAATTTGGTAAAATAGTAGGGCGGTGGTTCACAAAACAAATTCAAAATTACATCTGGTTTTATTTTTGTCATTACTGTAATATCATGGAAAGTGAAGTATTTTTAAATAGTTGCAGACAAATTGCCAAAGGTCGGTTTCTTTCTATTTTTGTCAACCGTTCGTGAACCTGGTCGAAAATTCTCTTTTCAATTGCTGTCCAACTTTCGAGTTTAGACTTACCTTACGTAATGATTGCGCAAGTTCTCTTTTTACTGTCTCCATCAGTAAGTTTCTTAATGTGACTTCTCGAATTTTATAGAAATTTTTGATGTCAACACCTACTCTCAGATTCGTTTCACGAAAATATTTTAAAACCTTCTGCAATGTTCCCCATCTTTCATTTTAACTCGAATTTTGTACTGAAGGCAAAATTCGTTTGACTTTTAAACTTAATATCCTTGTACAACCCATGAACTAACTTCTGTTTTTAATATTATCAATTGCCCTTCGAAATGAAATGTTTTCCATCTTTCCTATAAACATTTGGAATTGCTTCTTTGTTGATTTCTTCTAAAAATTTTCTAGTTCACGGTCTTACAGCAACATTCTTTCAGTTCCGTGAGTAAGCCAACTCCCACTACTGACACTAGTGTTACGAACGACGGAGTTTTGGTCCGAGTTCTTTTTAATTCAAAACTGCAATAATTTAACAACTTTTGTTAACATACTATTGTATTAATTATAGAAACTTTCAACAACCAAGACATTAACTTCTGTTTACTCGACTCTATTTGCCACTTCTTTTCTATATCCGAGTTCACTATCAAATTGACTGTTAGTTCTAAACTTTATTTGTCCATTTCTCGAACCGAGCAACTCCAAAACACTCACAACGTTTCCGTTCCTGGTGCGATCTTGCCCATTGTTATACGTAAAATTCTCGTTAATGCAAAGAACTTGGACAAGAAAGAAAATTGATGACCTTTGGTTGTACTTATTACTTAATAGGTATAATATGATGACGAACGTAAGAAAACCTCTTGTCTTGGCATTTCTGTCATCACAGTCGTAGGATTTGAGAACCAGGAATTTTATTAGGTTTGGAGCACCAAAGAGAAGAAAAAGAGAAGTGCGTAACTCGTTCCTAATTTAGATAAATTCGTTGTGTTTTCTCTCATCCTTGACCAATGTAATTAAATTTTTTATCGTATGTGTGTGTCAACAGTAGAATATCATTCACAACACCGTGAAGGAAATGATTTCCTTTCTAAACCGTGAACAGGAAATGGCGTGTGGAGGGTTTTGTCGCCGGGCAGTTTGTTGTCAGATTTTCCCTGATAACTTGAAGGCGCTCTTATATCTAAACTGCCCCCTAAATTCATGCTGTGCGAGTTTTACATTCGAAAGTTGCATCGTCGCGTTGTCGGCTCGTCCGATGCTTGACGTTTTCCTTCTCCAAATCAACTCGACACGAAATATGTAAA